CGGCTAATTTTTGTATTTTTAGCAGAGACAGGGTTTCACCATATTGGTCAGGCTGGTCTCGAACTCCTGATCTTGTGATCCGCCTGCCTCGGCCTCCCAAACTGTTGGGATTACAGGCTTGAGCCACTGGGCCCAGCCGATTTTTATTTATTTTTTAAGTGGCATTCATCTGTGTCATTTTTTTTATTAATGCTTGTTGCTTTTAAAACTTTTTTTAATTTCCATACGTTTTGGGGGAACAAGTGATATTTGGTTACCCAAGTAAATCCTTTAGTAGTGATTGATGAGATTTTGGTGCACCCATCACCCAAGCAGTGTATACTGAGCACAATTTGTAGTCTTTTATCCCTCACTCTCTTCCCACGCTCTCCCCCTGAGTCCCCAAAGCCCACTGTATCATTCTTATGCCTTTGCATCCTCATACCTTAGCTCCCACTTATGAATGAAAATATAAATGTTTGGTTTTTCCATTCCTGAGTTACTTCACTTAGGCTAATGGTCTCCAACGCCACCCAGGTTGCTATAAATGCCATTAATTCATTCCTTTTTGTGAATGAGTAGTATTCCATCACACGCCACACACACACACACCCCCCATACTACAGTTTCTTTATTCACTCATTGATTGATGGACATTTGGGTTGGTTCCACGTTTTTTGCAATTGCAAATTGTGCTGCTATAAACATGCGTGTGCAAGTATCTTTTTTGCATAATGACTTCTTTTCCTCTGGGTAGATACCCAGTAGTGGGGTTGCTGGATCAAATGGTAGTTCTACTTTTAGTTCTTTAAGAAATCACTACACTGTTTTCCATAGTGGTTGTCATTCACTTTGAAAGCACCTTGTACAAATTAGGTGTTTTAACGGCTGGGATTCTGTAGTTCTTCTAAGGCATTTTTTCCTGCACATGCTTTTTTTGTGGAAAAATTTAACATGCCAAAAAATACATAATTCATTACCATGGACAGAAAACCAAGAAGGTTTGGACACAGAGTCAGGGAACAGAATGGTAGTTACCAGAGGCTGGGTAGTGGGAGTTGGGGAGGTGTTAGTCAAAGGTGCAATGTTTCAGTTAGGCAAGAGGAATCGATGATAGATATTTGAGGTGATGAATATGCAAATTAGCTTGAGTCAATGATTCTGCATTGTATACACACATCACTTTGTATTCCATAAATATATAGTTATAATGTTTCCCTATCCAATAACAAACAAATTCTATTAAATTCAATGTACTTAAAAAAGAAAGCCAAAAAGATAATACTAGGGAATTAGAGATAAGCCAATTGGCTGGTGAAAACCAATGAAAATAATAGACTGAAATTGGGCAGGCATTGGACAAAACACCTGATAAACAATGTATTGACCTCTGATTGGTCATGGGAGACATCTGTCAACCAGATGTTCAAATAACCAGAGGCACGTATTTAGTCTGAATCTTTGTAACTCCTGAAAACCATCCAAGGAGAGAGGGATCAACTGGGATCTTGACATTCACATGCAGGTCCACACCATGACAGCAGAGTGTACGTCCATCTGAGAGCTGCAGGATTAGGGATTCTACACTCAAGCTACACACCCTGATGTCTGTACTCCTAGAGTAGAGTTCTGTCAAACCCATCAGATTGTTCTCCCATGTTATCAAGAAATAAATTAGACCCCCACATCTGCAGGGAGATTTTTCTTTTATTGCCTCTGATTTATGCAACAAAAATAGCTTCACCATTGGAGTGGCATTCACCATACACCCCTCTCCACTCACTGAGGACCCCACTGGTTTATACAAACATTCTCCAGAAGAATAGGTGCTTAATGAAGATTTGAGTGCATAAATTAATGAATTAATTAACCAATACTGTTCTATACTAAGAGGGTTGGTTACACTGGTGTGAATCAAATTTCTTATTTGTGATATTATTATCCTCTTATATTTAGATGAGACTGATATTTTAAAGTAGCTTTGTTAAATAAACATCTGTGAAACAGCAAAAGCAAGTAGGTGGCAGTGAGAATTTAGAAGGGGCACTGATTCTTTTAAAATCTTTCTCATGTGCTTACATTCTCCCGCCTTTACTGGAGAACTAGTTGATAAGTTCATGTCTGGAACACTCACTAGTCCTTCCTGAACTGAGCAGATCAGTGCTAAAGTGCCCGACTTCTGCTTGGTCAATGTCTTGCTGTTTAGAGAAGCACCCTCCATCTCTTTACTGAAAGATACTTAGCAGATGTTTCACTCTATAATTTATCTTATTTCTCTCTTTCTAAAATATGTATTCCTGTGGACCATGTTGCAAAATACTCTTGTAAGAGCTTTACCACAGAGATATTTACATGAACAGCAATGAAAATATATTTTTTAGTATTAGACTAAAATGTTTCCATCCTCCAAGAAGTTTTCAGGATAATGTGTTCTTCAAAATAGCAGCCATCAACAAAGAGCACCTCATATACCACTGTACATGAGAAACACATTGTATCATTTGGAAAGTAAGTCAGAATTTACTAGGGCTGATAAAAACATTGAATGTGTCAAGGAAATGTGCATCTTTGCTCGACATTTAAATTTGTTTTTATGATATAATTTGTAATTAATTCATTCCCATATTTTATTTGTTTTTGGCAAGTTTGAATATTGTGCAAACTCTTAGATTTGTAATTTGTGAGCTTATATTTGATAATGGCACCTTAAATGAAGAAGTGCATAATTTCTGTTTCTTTCTTGACATGAATGGTTTCATCTGAAGGGAAGATCAAGTTCAATAAGCTATAAAGTGGTTCTGAGAATGTGCTTCAATGATGGGCCAGAACATTCAATTTTTATCTGTTCCTTCCTATCATAAAGTATTAAAACCAGAGCAAATAAATAGCTCAGAAATGAAGTGGAAGTGCTTCTCCTCCATGTGGGTGTATTTAGCTTTTGGGGGTTGGGATTCTGCAATGCATTTAATAGCTAGTACCTAGGCCAGTAGTTTTCAAAATATGGTGCCCAAACTTATCAGTACCAACATCATCTGGAAGCTTAAAAATGCACATTCTCAGGCCCCACCACGGATCTGTGGAATGCATAGCCTGGACTTTCACAAGCCCTCCAGGAGATTCTGATGTCACTGATGTTCAAGACCCACTGCTCTGACACTCTGCTGTTCGGTGCAGTCCATGGAGAGGCAGGGGCACCTGGACCCTTGTGAGAACCTCAGAGTGTCGGCACCAGGACATTCGCCTTAAGAAGCCACTCAGCCGAGGGCACTGGCTCATGCCTATAATCCCAGCAGTTTGAGAGGCCAAAACCGGTGGATCCACAAGGTCAAGAGATCGAGACCATCTTGGCCAACATGGTAAAACCCTGTCTCTCCTAAAAATACAAAAATTAGCTGGGCATGGTGGCACGTGCCTGTAATCCCAGCTCCTTGGGAGGTTGACGCAGGAGAATCACTTGAATCTTGGAGGCAGAGGTTGCAGTGAGCCGAGATCGTGCCACTGCACTGCACTCCAGCCTGGGTGACAGAGTGAAACTCAGTCTTAAAAAAAAAAAAAAAGAAGCCGCCCAGGTGGTCCTGATGCATATTAATGTCTGAAAGCCACTGTTCAAAAATTTGAAGATTCGGAGTTAGGAACTTAGCAGTGGGAAAGTATCCTTTACTCAGAGGCCTTCTGGAGGCTGGGCAAGTGAAACTCAGTGGAGGCTTTACTGTTTGTACATCCTCTCAGTTACCTCTGGAATTAAAAGGAGGGAAGAGATACTTAAACTGCTGATTGCAAGCATAGAAAATATATAAGGGCATATTGTGTCTGCATTAAGGGATGGAGAGCAGAGTCATTATCTGGATAAAAGGGCTCTTATCTGAGTAATAAATTATATATATATATATATATATATATATATATATACATATATATATACACACACATATATATATATACATATATATATATATATGAATACATGCACATACATATACATAATTTCCCACAATGATCTAGATGTATTAGGTCAAAACACAGCTTTCAATTCAAAATTTTTTTGTAAAACTCTCCATTTTCGAATTCACTTTTCATGTACAAGCAATGCTAAGATATTTGGGAGGTCTTTTTCTATTAGGTTGTTTTCTACCTTGAATCTAATTTTCTGTAGTATGAATTTTTTTAGGAAGTCTTTTCACCACTGAAAGAAGTTGCAAACTTTTGAGGCTCCCTATAGGGTGATTGTTCTGGTGTTAAGACATCAGTGAGACAAAGCTTTCTGTGAAGTTGGTAAAGTTTGCCCCTTTCCAAGGATTCGGCCCTATTCCACATCTACTAGTGGTGAACCCAGGGACCTGGGAGGAAAAACAGTAGCTGACCAAGTAAAACCTTCTTTGTAAAAATATTTGTAGCATGGAAACGCATGAGAATTAAAGGATTTTTTAAAAAATCCTTTTGAAATCTTTACACAATGTGCCCCCACCCCGTATGTAAATGAGACTGTCACTCCTGTGTTTGTCCACAGCTAGAGTTCCAGATGAACCAGTGTAGTGTGCAATGACAGGAACAGCTGACTCATTAGTAGAGAGCAGTGAAAGGTAATTAACCCTGGGAAAAGTACAGCTGCCGTGCGGGCTGTTCCTTTCTGTAGGATCTGATTAGAAATTAGTGTTAAACCACTGATTCTATTTTTTTTTTTTTTTTTTTTTTCAGAAAAGACTGTCATTGATAATTTACTTTCACTCTCAGGTGTGTCCCTAGAAAAGGTTCTCAAATGTACTTATAAACAAAAGGGCTCAAATCTATAAAGCACTTTCTGATAACAGTAGACACCTGTTTTTCTTGTTGAGGGAGACTTCTTTCAAATGAATATTGTCTGATTATTGAAGATTGGTAATACCCCAACCCCTATTCTAATAGCATGGAAATTACTTGAAAGGATTGTTTTATATAGTTAATAAACTGTAGATAAATACCATTTAATTACGTTTCCTTTTTGTTTTTCTTTCCGTTTTTCCTCCTCTGATGCTTTTCCTCAGGAGCGATGGGAACTCTCCAGCTTAGATCCAGTAGCTTTTAGGGAAGGTAAGTAAAAGCTATTGAAAAATAAACTTTTCCCTCAAAGAAAAAAAATCTCCAACTTTTCAACATCCTTCAAAAACCTGAGACGTTGAGGAATTTCATTTTAGAGGATCAGCAAAGGTGCTTGATTTGGTTAGTGTTGGTATCCTCAGGATAATTTTGGTTATATTCATACAGATATTTTTCAGGAAGTGTTTACACCTGTTCATTCTGATGCATGACTTCATATGTCTGATATTAGGGGCGTTAATATGTAAAACATTCAGAATTAAAATGTATGACTAAAAAATGTGGTGGACAGGATAAAGTCCCCCACAAAAATATCCATGAAATCCCTGAAATCTATGAATACGTTATCTTGCATGGCAAAGGGATGTGATTTAATGAAGTTTGAGATTATCCTATTTGTCTAAAAAAGAAAAACTAATCACATGATCCTGAAGAAAAAGGCCAAAGAATGAGTCAGGGAGATGCGATGTGAGAAGGACTCAAAGTAACCCACTATTGCTGACTTTGAAAATAGAGGAAGCAGGCCATTTGCCAAAAAAGGCAGTGGGCTCTGGAAGCTGGGGGATAGCTCTCAGTTTACAGCCTGCAAGAAACCAGCGGTCTCAGTCCTACAACAGCAAGGAACTGGATTCCACCAACAGCCCAGTGAGTGAGGGAGCGCATTCTCCTGTGGAGCCTCCAGAATGGAATGGAGCTTAACTTGGTTTTAGTCTGGTGAGACCATACCAGACTTCGGACCTCTAGAACTGTAAGATGACAGATTTGTGTCTTTTTAAGCCATCACATTTGTGAACATTTGTTACAGCAATAATAGAAAACTAGTACAGAGAATAAGCCCACCAATAGATGGGACATGTTTTGTAGCTGCTGATCTAAATCCTACAAGTAAATTTCTGTATTTGAATGAAGAAAAACTTTTCTTGAGAGGCTAAGATTGATAGTCTATAAGAATTGGAGTATTGATTTTGTTGATTCAAATGATGGTTTTTGCCAACTCAGAGAGTTCTGGTTTCTACTTTGTGATATCCCTCCTTCCCCAGAAATTCTTTATATGCTATATTTGTAAACATAATACCTGTGTCACCCAAGATGCATATGAGTCCATGCTTTATTGGACTTTTTAGTGAGTCTGTGTTTACTTGAGCATGGGTGAGTGGAATGGAACATCAAGGGATAGAAGGCCAGGTCTCTGCTGCAGAGATCTGACAGGCAAAGAATGCTGAGCCTAGTGCTTGAAAGCAGATGGTGGCCATGTGAATCCTGGTTCTACCTCTTTCTACCTGTGTGAACCCTGGGTAAGGTGGTGAACTCAATTTCCTTCTCTAATCTCACATGTAGCATTGATAATACTTCACCATAGGCAAGCTAAGATGACTAAGTAAGACAACACACATAAATTCTAGCAAGAGTGCCTATCATTCTATGAGTTTGGTAAAGGTGAGGTGTGTTTATTTAGAAAATATTGTGTCGCCTCACCATTTTGATTCAAAAAATAAATTGGCTTTGTCTTTACTTAGGGTGAGTGCCATTTTCTCTCCCATACAAAAGTCATCAGTATGAATATATGGACATGCATTGCTTAAAATAAATGTAGGTGCACAATAGTCAGGTGCACAACAAGTGCTCTTTGAATTTTATTAACATTCTGGAAAACATCAAATGAGTAAAGTGAAGTCTGTGAACTAGGGACAGTGTTATAGTTTAGATGAGTTGAAGATCTTCCTATATAGTTTTCTTTCCAAATTTGGAAAAATAAGGCTATTATTTCTATTTTACATTTAACTTTTCCTGCAAAAGGACCTGTTTAAATCACAAGCCATAACTTTTCATATAAATGAGATAAAAGTAGACGTTGAAAAAAATCTGACCACAAAATCTATTATACTTCACACTCACTCTCCTTTGCATGTTGGGAGCTGATGTTTTCAACATAAGAGAAGACAAAATCGTAAATTCTCCTTAACTGGCATGGCAATCAAACAAACAAAATCTATAGTATTCCAGATGCTAAGATGTCTGGGTTGCTTGCTATTGAAATCCAATTAACAAACAATTATGTCAAGCATCTGAAAAGCGGGGTTTTTTTGCTTATTTTAATTCAATTCAATAATAACATATTGGGCACCTGCTATAGCCATAAAATTATGTTGCATCAAAAGGTCAACGGGATAGCCCTTTGCTTCCATGAGCCCACACCAGCCCAGGGAAGAGAAACTAGACCTGGGCAAGCATAATATCTGGTAGAACATAGTCATCAAGATGACGGTGCTATCAAAACACTATTGGAATATAGAATTCTGGGCGATGCTGTCAACCACAATATGAATGACAAATCACATTTCAGCAGACAGATCTTGCCATTCTGACACTAAAGGGAAAAGTTCCTTTGAAACTTACAAATGAAATCATGAAATTCAAAGCATTTAATTTTAGCTCTCTAATTTGACCATCAAGTCTCTGACCCTCTTGTAACTATATAAAAATATGGCCTTAATGCATTGTTTAACCAAGCCAACTACAATTTCGACCACTGGTGTCCTTTCAATTGCTCTTTGGGGACCTTACTTTATTCTTGTCACAGTTCTCCGAATCTCTCTAGGGATGAATTTTTTTAGGAATCACCATTTTCTGGAAGCTTTTCCAGTCTGGTCTAAGTCTGTGCTCCCATTCTTTTTTCTGCCTCCCTCTGTAATAATGCCTGGCACACTATATTGGAATATTCAACTTTCTGGTTTGAGCTCTTGAGAACAAGAGTTGTGCTTTATATACCCTTTTATGCCCACTGTCTAGCATGCAAAGCCATAGAATTCTTCTCAATAAGTGTGTACTGAACCAATAAAGAGTAAATTCTTAGGAGAAAAATACTTGTACTTTAAAAAATCTGTATTAAATTAAATACTGTAGTGACAATAAAATCCAAGGATCATTCTGCAAAAATCCAGTGCCCCACTGGCCTCCACAACTGAGTCACATCATTTGCTTTGCAAATTTCAGTATATTCTCCCATTCCATATTTCATAGTCAGGTAATGAAGATAAATAATTATATTTTTATCTTAATTCAAAACAAAATATGAGGAATATTTTATAAAAAGCAGTTACTGTTGGGAAAAAGAGAAGACTTTCTAATAAAATTCTAAAGAATCTTTTAAAGATGGATAAAGAAAATGGAAAATGTCTAAAGCTATCACGTGCATTGTGTAATAATCTGTATGATGAAATAGCTTAAATAGAGAAAATTCCCTTTATATAGTAAAAAGCTTTATTTGTGAAACAATTGCTCTTTGAACTTCATTAAAAATGTTTTGACATTGTGAGTTTGTTTAGTATAGATTTACTCAAAATAGCACATTTAGTTGCAACACAGGCCTTGAAGTTAAGTGGTTAGTTTAATAAAACAGACTTCCATAGTTACCACAGGAAAACAGAGAATAATTTTTATGTCTTTGGAAGCCAGGAAGGGGCTTTAGAGAAAAGATTAAGCAAACACACCCAGGCAGGTTCGTTATGTGCGGCTTCATACCCGATTGGCTTTTTAAAAGAGGAAACTTAATAAAACAGGAAATTAAAGTTTTCCCACTAAAATCTATGGAAGCACATTAAGAAGCCTGAACTGTCCCTTTCTCTAGGTCTTTCCAAGTAGATTCTGAGTCAGTGGGAAAGCTAGTTTAATCAGACATCTCTGTGAGATGCGCTTTTTGCTCATAGTATTTTGCTAATAAACCATGTCACAAACAAGTGCTTAAAAATGCCACCCCAAAGACAGCAAGGCATTGCTCTGCGTGGCGAATCATAAAATCTTAGGTCTCACTTTACCATTCATGATCAACGTTTTGATGAAAGGCCTGGTGGAAGGAAAATTGAAATCCATGCTAGTGAAGATGTCTTCTTGTGCCAGCTTCATTGTTTTCTCAGTTTAGCATGGAGATGTGCTCTCTCTGAGTCTTAATGGAAGTCACTATTGCTCTGTCCTTTAGTGCATCTAACCCAAGGAGTTCTTCACAGTTGACTGTTGAGAAACAAAACGATGTGGTTTCTAGTATCTCACCTTCAGCTCACCGGCCTTTAAAGCAGCAGTGATTAACAGGACTTTTACAAAGTTTCTATGTAGTTACAAGGACAGTTTCAATCTTCTGTCATTTTTTTGCATTAGCTATGATTATGCTTTTACCACAAAAATGCATTTGTTTTAAAGGTAACAATACAGACTGGGAGAATAGCTTATGTTTCATCTATATTTATCAGCACTCACTGTACATTTGTGTCTTCATTACCAGGAAATATTAAGGGACATTGTGCCATCTATTCCTGTTTACAGTTTATTATGCAGAGATAGGAAACACTTAGCATGTAAAATGAATGTAGAAATTATTCCTGGATAGAAACACGGACATTTCCCACTCGTTGGCTCTTTCTCCTCCATCACCGGATCAGAGTGTAATTGTCAGTAATCAGGCCTGCTTGCTGCTGATAAAACCACTCTGAATGCTAGCAGCCTTCTTTGTGTGATGACTCAATTATTCCAGAAGTGCCTCATCAAATCTGCCCCATCAGCTGGGCTAATAAATAAGGAGAAGAAACTGGCCCCCCAAAGCAAATTATAAATCCATTTGCATTAACCATTTCGCTGGTCCATGATCTAGGCAGAAATAAGCATGGCAGATTGTGTTAAGCTTATTTGAATATGTTTATAATGTTTACAGCATGCAACTTCTTTTTTTTCCCACAAGGTGTTAGAATTATCAGTCATGAATGGCATCTAAATGCAGTTATGTTAATTACAGCAAGGCTTTAAGTATCTTCGAGGGCTATTTTGTTACTTAAATCAGGTGAAAGTTAAATCATCTTGCAGAGAGAAATATAGGTCTTGCATAAGTTATTGGAATTGCTTCAGAGCTTAAGGAGAAAAGATCTATGTTTTATTTTTACAGGGAATGGAAGGGCAAATACAAATACTGTTATGCCTACTAGTATAAGTACAATTACTTCATATCG